GACTGATGCCACTGGTATCTGCTAGGAGCTACCTGTCGTTCGCTTCCCACTCTTACCACCAATTAGTAGTTTCCATTTGGTATACTCTCATAAGCGGTATTTTTAAAGAGTCGCTCTGATTTAGGATAAATATTTCCTAATCATAATTTTAAGTTATTACATAGCATGGGCAATAACTGAGTTTCCTCCCTAGCAATGTAAAATACACAAGATAATGGCACAAATTATGGGGAAATGTACTACAGAATTCCTAATACAACTTACTTTAGGAGAAATCAGACAAATATAGCAGCACATGTATCATGAGAGCTTAGCTTTGGGGATGCGCCTGCTCCCCAGCCCCTCCTCTGGCTCATGTCCCCACCCTGCTGCCTCTGGCAGCCAGGAGCTTAAGCTGTCCGCCATGTTTTTGTCTGGAAGCCAACACGGGAGATTGAGACTCCTTACACCATGAGCTTTCAGTTCTATGCATCAGGGTTTGTCCCAACAACGAAAGCTGACCAGTATCAACAAAAATAAAAACAGAGCCAGGTATGCTGGCACATGCCTGTAATCCCAGCACTCAGGAGGCTGAGGTAGTTGCCTTGAGTTGGAGGTCACCCTCGGCTACACACCAAGTTCAACACCAGCTTGAACTACATAGTCTTTGAATGGTAACATTAACTCAAGCTCAGCTTAGTTAGTTGTCATTAGATATAAAAATCCTTAATAAAAGGCCCATGTCTGATCTTCTAAAAACAACTTTCACAATATTTGCTCTTTAACCATGTAACAGACACTTAATGCACACATTAATGAAGTGCATCTTTCTTACTGCTGGTCTGGATGAAACTCATCAAAATTTAAAGGCAAAATTTAAATTTAAAGGTTTTCTTCAGCCCATGCGCATTAATAAGTTCACTGTAGCCAGAGTAGTTCTGTCCCTGTTACCTCCAGTCTTAGGGCAATACTAACAGTCTCCCTCAAACCTCCATAACCTTTGCCTACCTCAACTCTGGATATCCCAAAAATAATGCAGCAAAAATACACTCCTGAGCTGCGTGTGATGGGTGCACCCCATGATCCCAGCACTCGGGAGGCTGAGAGAGGAGGACCACTGTGAGTTTTGAGCCCAGCCTGCACTACACAGTGAGTTCCAGACCAGCCTGACCTATAACGAGGCCTTGTTGCACCCCCACCCCAAATAATAATAAATGAAAGGGCTGAAGACACACAACTCCGTGGTAGAGCATTTGCTTAGCACCCATGAAGTCCTAGGTGCAATCCCTAATACCAAAGAAGAACCGGAGAGAGGGAAGGAGCAACAAACTATCTTTTCCTCTTGAAAAAGAATATCCTCCCAGGGAAGAGAAAGAAACTTAGGAACCCCGGCTGTCAGCAATCTCCCAGTTAATGTCCACTTTTATTTTTATCCGTCCCCATAATTATGTACTCCAGTCCAGAGGAAGCATGGAACTCCACAAAGAGAACAGAACTGGGAAGACTAAAGTAGAATATAGAGAAAGGAGCAAAGTTCCTTCACTTAAACTTTTCCTCTCTTTCACGTAAACTGTAAATATAAACATGTTGCTGACAATGTAGTATTTTGACAGTTTTCAAGTAACAGTCTAAATTACATCCATAATTAGCTGCATACACTTGAAACCCACCTCTGCCCCTTGGTTGTCCTCCCCGCAAAATAAAGACAAAAATGACACAATAGTCCTTGTCTTTCTAACTACAGAACTCAGAGACAGTCTCTAGAACCCAGATTCCCAGGCTCTAGATTCTTACCAATCTCAGTAGTCTGCTCACAGCAGCCCCAGGCCACGCATGCACAGTAACCTTCCCAGTTACAGTAGTCGTGGCCATGGGAAAAAATCTGCCTAAACTGCAAAGACTCATGCTTAGCACAACATCAAACTTACAAATTTTTAAGAGAAAGATAGCATAGTACTTAAACAAGAATAAGTCATAATTACAACTTCTTCTAAAGGATGTCTTAATTTACAAAAAATTTTCATGAACTAGGATTTTTAAATGGCACTAGAAATCCCAGCACACAAGAGGCTGAGGCAGAAGGATCACTGAGTTTGAGACCAGCCTGGGCTACAAACTGAGCTCAAAGCCAGCCTGAACTGCACAGCAAGACCTTGTCCCAAAAAGATAAATAAATAAAAACAAATGGCACTAAAACTGCCTAATCATTAAATTTATATAGAGCAAAACTCATTTCATTCCATCAAAGACTTTCCCCATGAGTAGAACTCAATACTGTATTTGTGCTCAAAACACACTAAAAATTTAACATTTTAATTTCAAATGCACTCAGGTCATTTATCTGAAAAATATCTTTAATGAAATCTGTAATACAAGAACATTTCTATAGTACTTACTTTATGATAGGATTTTTAAAACATTTAATTTGATCCTCAGCTATTATCTCTACTAAAAAAAACCCCAAAAAACTAGGGTCCATTTAAATTAAATGATTTGCCCCAAAACCTACACAGTAACTGCGTAACACTAAAATCATGTCTTCTTCCCCACCTCTGATGCTTTGAGACAGGGCCTCCTGTAGTTCATCCAGGCTGGCCTTGAACTCACTGTGGTAACCCAGGCTACCCTAGAACTCACTGCAACCCTCCTGCCTCAGCCTCTAGTCCCAATTTAAATTTTTTTTTTTTTTTTTTTTTTTTTTGCGGAACCGGGTATTGAACTCAGGCCCTTGCACTTGCCAGGGAAGCGCTTATTCCATTGAGCCATCTCCCCATCTCCCCGGCCCCCCTAAAAATCTTTTAAAAACTCTAATAGATCATAACTCCTTCCAAAAAGACTTAGTTCAAGTCTTCTTGGGTGAATGCCACTGTTTTAACAACTATTCCAAATAGGCTGACGGTTACCAAAGTTCTGAAAAAATCGTGAACTTTTCATTTGCCAAGTGCCTAGAACTATATAACATTAATTAATAATTATTCTTGGATCATCTTAAGACAGGAACTAGTATCATCAATCCCTTAGCACCCATACCCACAGTAATTCAGTGGCTGTGCAAAATGATTCCTCTCAGCTTACATTAGTTCCCATTTGTACTTAGCTAGCGGCCTGATGTTCAGTGCTAGATGTATCAAGGTGACTCCAATACTTTTCCTTCTTCTAGTACTGACACAAGCTTAAGGCACTGGTCAAAATACTTAAGAGGAATAGAAAAGCAGTACTGTATACTATCCAAAATACAATGCCATCCCAAAAAGCCTATGCTGAATACTTCAGTTGAAGTAGACGCCAAAACACAACTTATTAGCAATTCATTTTTCAAATTGTTAGTTTTATGACAAATACAAGTATTTCCCAAAGCATCCTAAACACAATATATTAAAGAATCCTGCTTCACAATGGCCTTTTTTAAAGCTGTAAATACAATTTGATAATTAAATTACCATATTGGCAAGTTAATTTTTAAAGTTCTGCAGAAAGTGTCCTATGAGGTAACTACTCCCATATTTTATAGTTATGATTCAATCTTTTATAAGCCATAATTTGTTAAGAGAGAAGAGACAGATCTGTGTCTAACTGCTATATTAACGTGCATCGTCTGGAGGCCAAAACGTCCTTCATACTCTCCACAGGTAGTGTTTGGAATAACTTCACACTTCGGGCCCTTCCTAGCACGTAAATAGGAATTCTGTTAACAGCAACTTCTTCATTTCCACAGAGAACAGCAGAGCGACTCCGCTGACTTGGAAAGGGAACAACTATCTGTTGTACAATACCCAGTCCGCTCTGGCCAGCGAATACAGACTCAAAAAAAGACCTATTTGGAAAACGTTTCTTCTCCAGCCAAGGGCTTTCCCAGATAAAGGCAATGCTCTGAGGACAACAAATAAGCCTTCTCTGAGAAAAGCAAAGTGCCAGGAAAGGAGAGGCATGGACCGGGAGTCAATGGGGCTGCGTGCTCAGTGTGAGGGCTGGTGGCAGCAAACAGCGCCGAGATGCTCCAGCGCAAGAGCCACCCGCGGCAGCAGGAAGTTTCAATGGGGCCGGGCAGAGCATGCGCCCTGCACCCGCGCGGTGGCCTTATGTGGAAGGAGCACCACTTGCGAACACCAATAATAGACCAGAGGCACCGGAGAGAGAAACATGAGCAACAAGCACCTTCTTCAACAGTTTCCCCCGCCGTCAAAGCCCCTCCTCCAGCCTACAGACTAAGCACTCCACCCAAGCCTGCAAATGGGAAGGCGACTTCTTCCCCAAGCCCAGCAGCCGAGATGAAGGGGGGAAGGGTTTAGAAAAGTGGGGAGATGCTTCTCTATTATTTGGGGGAGGTGGGGAGAGGGAGGAGGAAAACTATGGAGGAGATATTAACCCTCTCCTCCCCGAAGTGCAGAAGCTGAAGCGACTTCACCCTCCCTACGCAAGAATGGAGAACGCCCTCCCTCGCCTTACGAGCAGACCTCCCCACTCCCAGAAAGGAGTTTGGGGGTGTTTCAGACCAGCCCGGGAGGGGAAGGAGAGAAGGGCGAGCCTACTCTCGGGGGAGTTCCCACCGGAGGGAGGGAGTCTGGCGTCGCCGGCCTCCGCCCACTCAGGTAGAGGGAGATAAGGGGGCGCCCCAGAAGACGGCCCCGAGATGGTGGGGAGGCTGTGGGAGGGGGGAGGAGGAAAAAGCGCAAGGCTGGCCGGAACCTGCGCTCCCCTTCCCCCGCCACCCAAAGGGAGCGGGGTGGGGGGCCGGCCCGGCGGGCCCAGACGTCCTCAGGGGCGCCGGCCAGCACAATGACCCCTCCCCGCCCCCAGCCCACACCTACCCGCGGCGCTCCCAGCTCCGCTCCCCGCTGGCGCGGCGGCTCCAGGGGGCCTCCGCCCCGCCTCCCCGGACCCCGGGGGCTCCGCGCACAAGACCGGGCGGCGGAGCGGCGCCACGGGCAGGACGGAGCCGCCGAGGCCCAGGACGTCGCCCAGAGCGGAGAGAAGAGCGCGCCAGGGCGGCTTCCCGCCGGGCGTTCGGGCCCCTCGCTCACCTTCTCCGTGGCCGACGTCCGCCGGCGGCGCCTGCAGCACCCGCTCCAGCTCGGGGAACGGCAGCTCGGGGAGGTCTAGCAGCGGCCCGTAGCGCTCCAGGAAGGAGCAGACCACGGCGAAGTTGGGGCACGAGCCTGGGCAGCCCGGAGCAGCCATCGCCGCCGCCGCTGCCGCCGCCGTCGCCATTTTGAACTGGAGGATGGAGGAGGAGGCGGCGATGGGGGGGAGGGGGCTGGGGCGCCGAGGACGGCAGGGGAGCCCCGCGGGCGGCAGGAGGCGCTCACGAGCGGGCTCCCCTGCGGTCCCCGCGGCGGCGCGCCGGCGCCGCGATCCCACAATACCTCGGCTGCCCGGAGCAGTCGAGAGCCGAGCCGGCGGGGGCCAGAGAGGCGCCCCGTGCCCTTCTCTTTCCGCCCCTTCCCTCCTCCGCCCCCTCCCACTTGGGCTCACTGCGGCCTCGTGTGACAGCGGGAACGAAAACAAGGGAAGCGGGGCGGGGGCGGGGGCGGGCTGCGGGGCGGGGGCGGGACTCCGGCGAGAGCCAATACGCGCGAGGGGGCGGAGCCCGCCCACCCGCCGCTCAGCTTCCAGGCACAGCGCTCGGCTCCTGGCGGAGCTGCGGCGCTGGGCGAGCGGGTTGCGCGGCCGGCCGAGGGCACCGCCGGAGCGACGCGCTGTGAGTTGACCGCGTGGGGGAGTCTGGGCGCCGGGAGTGGAGGAAGACCGGGTAGCGCGGAATGGAGCCGCGGAGCGGCGCGGGGTCCGCCGGCCGGGGCCGCGCCCGGGTCTCAGCGCAGGTGTGCCGGAGCGCTCGCTCGCGGCC